CCTCATCCTCCACAAATTCGATCAGCGTAACTATACATCTCTTAAAATGTTTATTTCTTTAACTTTTTTTAAAATCGCCAGATTATACAGCCTGATTGTTAAAAAGTGAGTTTCAACAAATAAATAAGTGAAGTGTTTTTAAAGAATTTTTTAATTAAATTGATTATGTGACCTTAATTCGTTCGTTCATTTACGCTTTCGATACGCAAGAGAGCTTCCAATTTCACCCTAAACAATGTCAGACAAGAAATTTGGATCTGTGCTGTCGGAATGTATAACACATTTTTTTTCCCTCTTTCAATGAGAGTGGAGATTAAGGATTAAAAAACTGAACAAAAAAATGGTAAAGAGAACAATAGGAAGACGGAACAAAATGTCAAGAACAAAATAAAAACTACAACAGTAAGAACAAAGCTATCACCTAATAACAAAATCCAAACAGAAGTATTTGAACAAAAGTAATGCCTCTTTGAAAAGAATAGCAAGGGAGCCTTAATAAGATGGGAAAAAAAAGTATTTGACAATTTATTAAAGACAAGAATTTCTTGTTTATTTTTAAATAAAATCCAAACTCCTTATTGCTCAAAGTGCATTGGAAGTTAAAGTCATTGAGTAATGGAAAAGAAAGAATAATTTAAAAATTGAAGTATTGCTTGTCTCAATTCTTATCAAATACCAATCTCCTATCAAGTATCTATCAAATTACAAAGGTCGTTAGGTTGCTTCCTACAGTATTTTTGGCGATTTTCTGCATACCTAATGAACCCTCTTAGATTATAATTTATCAACTATCACCAATGATTTGTTCAAACTCTCTGCGGATTCATTTTGACACATTGAATTAATTAAACTTACCTGTTGAATTTAATCCCAGCGTAAAGAAATATGGATTGGATTCTTATGTCGATTTGAATTAGTTTATCAATTAAAACTACCTTAATTAATTGATTCAAATCAGTCAACTGAATTTCAAATAAAAAGTGTCCCTTCATTTCCAAGAACAACTTTTAACTTCATAGCTGCTACTATGAGTTCACGTAACAACACACGTGAAAAATTTTAAATGTGTAACTAGATAATGTAAGTTTTGCTTTTACACAGTACACATACACATCTCAGTATGTGCATAATGTATGTGGCACCTCTAGAGCCTAGTGGATGTCACACTTGAGGAGGCACTATATCTATTCTTTTCAAAATCATTACATTTTTCTCACAAATCTGTACTATTTTTAAGGAAAAAAAAACTTATTATTAATCTTGCAACATATAGAAAACCATTAGTTATTGTCTAAAAAAAAAAGGTTCAAAAGTTATTTAAAATTGCCAAAATTCAAAAAAATTGTCTCTGTATTTCTATATTATACAAACACATTGCTGCAAATCGATAACTTTGTACATCAACAATCTTGAAACGGAAGAACAGAATAAATCAATGCTTTAATTGTAACACTACAAGTACGTACTTTTAATTTAAGAAAAAACAGTATTAAACAGACAAAAAAAAAAGAGAATAAATCAGCTGTTTGCTAGGGTTTATTTAACGACTTTGACTTCATAAGGGGAATGAAAATAATCTTTCTCAAGCCTAAAATATAAAATAAACTATACATTTCAATTGTACAATCCGCTATCTTCATTTTCGGTGATTTGCAAAAAAATAATTCTTAGTTTTAAAGATGGGTAATCAAAATATCAATAATTAACCCAGAATATTATTGCAGCATACTGAATTTTATTAAGTTTCTTATCAGACTTTAATTGTCTTATCTATATCAGCTTAAATTATAATAAATTATTATATCAGATTTAGTTTAAAATTTATTAAAAACATTTTATTAATGAAGTATTCTGCTTTTTTTTTATAAAAGACAGAGCTATTTATCATTATTAATCAATTAAAAGCCAGTCTGACCATTAGATTTTTGTAATACTGATTAATTTAACTAAGCATATTCAATTAGTCAAAATGCATAGTTTTTGTTAAACTCCTTTTCTAAGAAATCTTATTTAAGAAATTTGAAAAAGCATGCATTTAAAATTACAAAGGTTTTTTCTTCTTTTTTTTTGGTGGGGGGCAGGTGAAAACAATTAAACAGATTTTTTTATGTGCCTGGAGTAGATAGAAATAACCCTCTTTTGAAGAAGAAAAAAACTTATTACAAAGCTTCTCATTAAACATGGACATTTGTTTCTAGCTAATCGCTGCAGATTTTAGGAGGAAAATAATTTGACATAAATTCAAGATTAACAGTTTAATAATTACTGGTACTTATCAGTAATAGGGACCATACATGCTTTTTCGAGTTATCTGATATCTATAATGAATAAATATACAAATTTCAATATCACCAAGAATTCAAAAAAAAAAAAATATTGATATTCAACAAAATATCACAATCTCTTATCAAATAAATTAATTTATATTCCTTTTACATTAGTCAATATTTTCAATATCCAAATAAAATTTATTAACACCCACAATATTGTATTCAGTAATTTTTATATATAATAATCATTTATTATATTTTCATTTGTTATGTTATCAATAAAATGATCATGATATTAAGGGTATTTGATAATTGTAGTTATCATTAAAGATATTGCATAGTTTGATATCATGATATTATTTAATTTGATACACCTACGTGCACTATCAATAGGCTAGTGACTTACGTAAACCAGAATTTAGTGTCGTTCCTACGTGATGACAACATTTTTTTAAGGATTCCTATAACCAATAAGTACCAATTTGCTAACGATTGATAGGGTTTAAAAAAATAAATATATATAGGAGAATAAATCTTATCATTTCACTTCAGCAGAGCCAAAAATTTTACCCTTGTTATTTAAAAGTCAGGCATTTCTATCTGAAAATTCGTAATTCATTAAACAATTAAAAATGCAGCTGTATAACCAAGCTTTTTAACTATCAAAAATAAATGAATAAATATTTATAAATATATGTATAAATACACCTATTACATAATTACGTTTCATAACACCACACTTTTAAAATTATATATGCAGTTTTAATTGCAATTTAGTTGCAAGAAAAAATAAATAAAAATTTTCGTATTCTAAAAAAAATAGGATTACTTAAAAAATACTCAACTCAGACTGGACATTTTTTTTTAAAGAAAGAAGAAAACTCATTTAATGTTTTTCTTACAGAAAAAAATTAACAAATAATTAATGGTTGAAAAAAATTATTTATAAATTAGAATAGGAGGATTTACTTTAATCAAAACAGTCAGTCATTATTTTCGGAGATTTGGGAAGAACTAAGGGAGACAAATTACCTAGTATATTCATTTGGGTAGAAGACAATTTACCTTGGTAATCAAAATGATAAATTACAGAAATGCAAAAAGAATAATGAACAAAAATACCTAAGTTTGTAAAGTTCACTCAATCAATGTTTACATAATTTCAAATTAAATGATAAACAATATAAAATTCGAATTACCTATTAAATATAATTTTGTTTTTTAAATTTCAATGAAAAATATTTTACTAATGTAGTATTCCGATTTGCTATCATGAAAGACATCAGATCTTGAGAGTAAAATACTATTATAGCAATTATTGACTGCTAAATCGTTACGATAATTCCCATTGTAGTAATTTAACTCAATTTAATCCATAGTTCTTAAATTAAGTCTTTATTTATACAAGAAATATATCATAAAAAACCAATGACAAATGTTTCTTTTCCCTTGCTCGGTAACTACGTACATAGTGAATGCTGCTCTCAGGGGTCTGTCCAGGTTTTTCTGAGAGGTACCTATTTTGTGAAAATGTAGACATAATTTGTGAAAATTAAAAATTATATAAAAAAAATCAACACAAAAATATGGTAAAAATATGGATTTATCGTTTCTTATGGGATACAAAAATAAAATTTTTAGAAAAATTATTTTGTGAAACTACCGTTTTTCCTAAAGTTAGTTGAATTTGTGAAGGTACTGCTAAACAGTAGTAAATTTGACCTGGACAGACCCCTGGCTCTGCAATAGCACTAAAATAATAATTTTGCTTATTATTAATATCATTTAGAATGAAATCACAGAAATATTATTAAAATGTAGAGAACAATCGCAATTTGTTAAATATAAACACTTCATAAATGTTATTTCTATAACTACAGCCAAAGCAATACCCTAGTTAAGTAAGAATCAAAAGAATCCAAGTTTCATTTCAAAATTTTCAAGGATTATGTTCCGCAGAAAATTTTTTAATTTATAAACAAATCTTTACTTCGATCATTTCTAAATGATATCATAAAATAAATAAAGATAGGGAAATAATACCCCAGATTTTTTTTTCTTTCTAAAATTTAGAAACAATTTGGTATTGATATGTTTATAAAATTTCATTTTAATGAAAGTTGCATTAAACTATAAACCATCGAAACTTTTGCACAACAACAAATCTAAATTCTTTACACTGAATGAGTCATAAATTTTTTGTCAAGTAATAAAGTTGCCCTTGTTTAACAGAATTCTTAGCAAAGTAATCTTGCAGAGGCATGTTTGAATTATAATTAAATGCATATGTACGTATATTATAACGAACGCGCAAAGTAACGCACATTACAGTTTTATTAAAATGTTAAAACTAGAAAAAACTGTATAATACTAAAAAATTTTATTGAGATTCGGATCTCTCTCCCAATAACTTCGAACTACGTAACAGATCTTAAGAATATGTGTTTCAATACTGATTCAAAATGTTAAGAATCAAAGAAGAATAACAAAATTAATGACATTTCCCCAATAAAATGCTAAAAACCATACTTTATAAATTTTAGAGACAAGTGATTGAAATTTATTAAAAAAATAATTATTTATGTTTACATAAAATCAAGGTCATGCATCGGTAATAGCACTTTCCCTTTTACTTTATAAAATAACACAATTTAATGTACACAATTAATTACAAACTAGGGTAGTTTTTGGAGATTTCTAACGTACATATAAAAAAAATGAGAAACTTACTAAAGTGTAAATAGAAGCTACGTAACTTCCATTCTGTAGATCTGTAAACAGGGCGTTTCTTAGCAACGGTCGACGATGATACCACTTTCGTTGTTTTTTAAGAATATCGTGAGCTGATGATAGCGTTGTTGACATTATGAAAAGATCATTAACGAATCAAAATCTAGAAAAAAATTCTTATCACATTAAAATCGTCTGATAAACCTTGCTAGATTACTTGACATAATGTTGCTTTGACCCACACAATTCGATCAACATGGACACTACCACAGTTCCAATCCGGTTTCGCAACGAATTCGGGGAAAGTTTTGTCACGTGATCGACAAATTCTTACTTTAAGTGCAATAGATGGCAGCACAGGTTTATTGGAGCAAGAAAATATTTTAAAATAAAATCCGTAAATACTTATTATGCTGCCATCTCTTAGTGACAATTACTTCTATATGGAAATATAAAGTTTTCTTATAACTTTTGCACAAGAAACAAAAAAATATAAAAGAATAAATAAATAATATAAACGAGGCCATAAAAAGAATTAATGAGCTAAATTAAAGTAGAGCATTTTTCAGTTACTTAAGAAAGAATAACTTCTAATTTTTATCATTTATGTAAAAATTTAACAACAAAAGTTACTGATGCAGTTACAATGATTGTGAGAATTTTTTTTAAAATGTCATTTTTAGCTTTTAATTAACTAAATATTAAACTCTGACTTATAGAGAAATTTTTGTTCTGTATACTATTGTTTTGCCGAAAGATATTTTTTCCAAATAAATAAATCTGCGTGCACAATAAACTACCGCACTCATATTCAAATAGTTAAACCCCTAAGAAGTTTTGGGAAAATATTTTTTTTCTTCAAAAGTTATTGATATTTTTAATCCTCCTAACACTTTTAGCTTCATATAATTTAGCATTGACCATTTAAAATTTTGTTTAAAATTTTTAAAAAAAGATAATATAAAAATATGCAAAATGAAAAAAAAAAAGAAGAAAAAAACACTATAAAGGTAATGTTTTTTAAAAACATTTAGGAAGACTATTTTGTGAGTAGCAAATTATTTAACTCACAAAATGTTTTTTAAATGCTGCTTCATACTCCTTTGATAAAATTTATAACTCTGCAATGATAAATAAGTTAAAAAATTCCTCATTAAGTCACTCTGGAAAATCCACACTTTCAGCCTCTGACGTAAACTTTGATCAAGTTATGACTTTTTATTTCATTTTGTTTTATAAATTTTAAAAAGTTTGCGGTAGAAAACTTTTTGTGAGAGTGGTTATTTTCAACATCTTTGGAGCTATGATAAGAATAAAAATGAGAAGTGATAAAAAAAATTAGAGAAGTAAATAAATGATAAAAGATAAAAATAAATAAGGAAAAAATAAGTTAAAAAAGCAAAAAATCGCGATTTATGGAGGAATTTCATATCTCATTAATGTAGTGGAAATAAGCGTGGTTCGATTTTTTTTAAACAAACATTACGTGAAACTATAAACATGAAGATAAAACCCAGAGATTGGCAAGATTTGGTATCTTTATTTCCATCATAATTCAAGTTTCCATGCTAGAATTACAGCTTTTTATCAACTGAGAGCATATTTTTTTTCACATCATATCCGCATTAAACAACTGACCCCAATTCTGAGTTTATGTCTTTTAATGATCAATTCCGTAAGCTTGGTGTTTCGAAGCCAATTCAGAAAACAACGGAGCTACTGGATCAAACATCAGGTTGATGGAACTTACCCGCATTTACGTTACGTGGACAGGAAAACCAAGAAAACTTTCCACTGCTTGCCCGAAGTCAGGAGAATTCTAATCAATGATTGATCCATCTCAAGATATTTTACATTAGCAGCACTATGGCTGATGCAAGTCGGGAGCAGAATTCTAGGAGCAGCCACAGCTGTTATTCGAACCTGGATCACTTAATTGGGAGATCACTTCATTCATTCACTCAATTCCTTGAATCATCACGGCTCTTGCTGATAGCATTAAAAAAAATATTTAATTTTAATGGTTACAGTACAAATTACAATTGTTCACTTTTGTCATCAAAGATTAAATGTTTTGTGTAATTTTAGAATGTTAGAAAAAGTTACATTCTTAAAAGCTACATATTGTTTCGCAGACTTATGAGGTTTCGCGTAACGAGTGGTCATTGAAGGTAAGTCCATTAATCGCTCTATCGCCAAGGAAAATAAAAAAGCCATAGATTAAGTGCCGTACACTTGAAGCAATGCAATGATTTTAAACTACATGTATAATCTTGTCACAAAGAATTATCAGGGCCCTAGAACAGACAAATAACTTAAATATTTTATAAGTTATTAATTTTTTTAAAAATTGCCAATTTGGCGGCATTTTTCCACCCACGTGAAAATTATCCTAATTACTGCCTTATTCTCGGTGTTTTTCAAATTTTTCTGAACCCAGGTAATGCAACATTTTAGTAAGTTATTAAATATTAAGAAATTATACCTCAAAAGCTTTACATTTTCACAAAACTGTGGCTTTTCTCCATATTGGCATTTTGCGCCATTTTCAAAATCCGATGGCGCTGGCCAGAGATGGGCATTTGTCATTCAAAATAATGAATAAAGAATGATGAATAATTATTTAAAATCTGAATAATGAATAAATATTTATTCATTAGTCAGAAATAATTTGAATAAAGAATAAATCATTCATTATTCTTCAATCAGTATCCTTTATTCATTAGTCAAGAATAACTGAATAATTTCACTGATCAACAAAAATGGGCTAGGAATACTCTAATTGACTACGATTATGGCAACTACAAATTCTTTTCAAGTATATTTATATAATGTTTGAAGAAATTTACTTTTGTCTAACATAATGCATACTTTTGAGATATGGTTACATGGCAAAAAAGCGTTTAATTTTTTAAGTTAAAATTTTATTTTAAAATTTAAAATAAGGTTATCGTTTGCTTTCAAAAACTATAAGTAATTGTGTTTTATAGATTTTAGAACAAAATTTTAAAATGAACTTAAGTAATTAAACTGTTATAAACCTATTTTTTAGCGCAACTATAAGTATGTTGCGCTGGAGTAAGTTAAAATAACATAAAAATAAATATTCATACTTGTCTTAGTTTTATAGTTAAATTCAAAAATAAGACGTTTAAGAAGAAACGATGTTTTGCATCTCGTTATAGACAAAGACATATCGATTGCATTTTTCGCTGGTTATTCAAAATTTTATTCAGAAAAATTAGTCATGACTAATGAGTTTATTCATCAATCATTTTTCAAAATTTTTTATACATTTGCAAAATGAATGATGAATAATGACTAAATTTTCATATGAATAATCATTCAGAATAAATTTATTCTGAATAAATTTAGTCATGAATAAAATTTTCATGAATGATGCCCATCACTGGCGCTGGCTTTAGGTTGATTTAGACCTAACCGCTGGCTAAATTAGGCCTAACAGTCATAAGTAACAGTTGCAAACTCACAGTAGTTATAAAAAGGAACATATCATTCGCAAAAAAGCATAATTTCATATTACGATGAGGAAGTCTTCGAAAAACAATCTTAAACAAATATTTGCAGGATACTAAAGTTCGCGTAGCTGTCCTAAGTTCGGGTTTTAAAACTCTTTTATCCAAAAAGTATTCTTAGAAAATAAATATAATATAAATAATTGTTTTATGTTTTCAGTTATTAAATATTTTTAATTACTTAATAAATTTGAGCTATAGGTCGTAAAAATATTTTATAAATATGAAACCGCGTAATAATAATGTATGCGAAATACAAAATTTTGAAATAAATTAAATTAATAGTTTCTAAAAAATAATAATTTAAATATAAATTAATGGTTTTTATATTTGAAAAGTGATAACAAAGGCCATGAAGTTAAAAAAAAAAAAAAAAAAGGAAATGATAGAACTTTGTTTCAGGCAGGCCACACACTGGAGCGACAGCTGCAGTTTTCACGCATGCTCAGAAAAGAAATACAGTGAAACCTCCTGTTATGGACACTCCTGCAAAACGGACGCCTCTCAATACGGACATATTTTTAATTCCCCGGGAATCCTCTATGAATAAACCACTACGTACGTTCTCCGTAAAGCGGACACTCCCGTAACCGGACGCGGACAGTCATTTTGATCCTGAAACGTTGTTTTTTATCTCTACAAACCGGACACTACTTTTTTTAAATAAATTGCAAGCTAAAAAAATAAAACTTTTTGCCTTATCCATAACTAAAATATTGTTAAGCTATTTCACCACCGAAAAATCAATCTTTCTCCTGTCACCTTGCCTTATCTTTGTAAAGAAAGGAGAGAAAATGGTACTGCACTCCTGAAATAATTCTGACATCGGCATCTTTTGATCTTTTCATCTGGACCGCACAGGTTATGGACCCCTCAAGTTGAAATGACTTCTCTCAATGCTTCTACCCCATTGAAAATTTCTTTAATTTTCTTATCAATTTGAAGACTGTATTTAACACAACTGGGTAAAGAAAAGAGAACAGAAGTATAATCTTTGAGGTGTTTATATAAATGAAACATTTATTCAGACACTTGATAGCTGATCAATTGTGAATAGCCATCTCCATAGGTCCTCATGACTTACAGGTATGATGCATTACTTTTTTTTCTATGAATCATGGGAGATTTATTTTCCAAGGAGGTATTAACCATGTTCCCTATCTAATGATAAGTAGGTATAAGGAGATGTGAACCTAATAATAGAAACGGACTGAGGACAGTACACTCCTATTTGTTATCATATGTCTAACTTGAGTATCTATGCTAATAGGAAAATTATGTTTATTTATCTGTAGCTACATCCAGAATTATGTATTTATATCAAACTTCCTTATATATTCTTTTTTATCTTTCTTATTGTTTAAATAAATATTCTTGTAGATATTTACAGTATCCTTGTAGATATTATTTAATTATTTCTACATCTTTGAGAATATTCTGAAAACAATTTACGGTGTTAAATTTCGTTATTAGGGTACCCTTCCCGTAAACGGACAACTCTCATTAACGGACAAATTTTTTGGTCCCATGAATGTCCGCTTAACGGAGGTATATGGATCCACCGGAAAAAAGTTTGAGGTGACGTTACTTCGCCATTTTGTGTTTATATTTTTATTATACACTGAGTATATCTTTAAACGATTATCGATTTTTTACGAATTCTATTAATAATATTATACTTTATATAATTATTTTAAGATTTCAATTTGTTCTTACATAAATCATATTTTTTCTTGTAATTTAATTTCAGTAAATTGTTGTCCTTTCATTAATTTGTAGATATGCTTTAAAAATATCTTTATTTGTTAATATTTTATTTTTTATCTGGCTATTATTTTGCTTGTAGTAACGTTTTAAAATTTGAATCTATAAAACTAAATAACTTAAAAACGACAGTAATTGAAATAAAAAGTTAGGTATTAAATTAGTACTAATTCGTAAAGGAGATACATAACGGTTTGCCATACTTTTAATGACGCTAATGATGTTTTACTAAATTTGTTATTAGATAATAATTTAATTTAAAAAATAACTGTGTTCTAGAAAGCAAAATTAATGGAAAAAAGTACTTATTCTTTTGAGTGAATCTTGAAAAATTGCTAAACTATTGACTCTAATGTGGCTTAATTAATTTTAGTAATGGGTTCAAATTGAAATCAATAAGTTCTGTAGTAAAAAGAAGGTTAAAGGTAAAATGGAACTAATTCGTATAAGAGAAACGTAAAAATCTAATTTATTATCGACGCTAAATTAATTTAATTTTGGTAATAAATAGTAATTGAAATAAAAAATTAAAACGTGCTATGTACTATAAATCGAAATTAATAGAGAAATGATACTAAACCATTTAGAAGAATATATCACCGTATTTATTATTGATGCTTAATTAATTTTAGTAAATACTGATTGGAATTTGAAATAAGCTACGCTAAAAGCAATATTACTGAATAAATAGTACTAATCGGTTGAAGAGAAGTGTTAAATTCGCCAAACAATTAATGACCTCAATGATGCTTAATCAATTTTGGTAATAGGTACTAAATGAAATAAGTTACATACTCTAGGTATTTTGAAGCAATTATTTAAAGCAGCTATTAATTGAAAAAAAAAATGCTTCTGTGAATAAATAAATAGTGCAACTAATATTAAAAAGTCACAAATTATTAGTTTTCATCAGAATATTAATTAACATCTGAAAACAAATTTGCTTAACATCGCCTCTGCAGAGATGGGGTTAAATATCGAATATCTGGCTGTAAGCACAATTAAACACGCAACACTGATGAGACACCAGCAAAAAATAACGCACGTTACACGTGCAACTTTGTTGCTTTTCAGCTTCTGCGCGTGGCTGTTCTATTTTGAAAGACTGGCTAGTTTTTCGCGTCTGTGTCGCAATGTTACCTCAATGTCACTTCAGCGCGTGGCGTGCCTTAGCCATCTTTCATTTCAAATAATAAGTAACTAAGTTACTATTGATATTTTCGATAGTTGAAATACAAAAATTTTATCGTTAAAAATCTGAAGTGACCGATAACCTCACAAGATCGTTTTCTGGAAGGATGTCAGGCAATCAGGTGAAAAATAAAATTGATACCATCTTTCAATGTTTTTGTCCATATCTTAAGTAGTTTTCAAACTAATAGGTTATTTAATCAATTAAAAAATAATCTTTACTAGAATCTTCAAAAATTGAGTTAATAGGGTAGATATAAATAACTTGTTATATTATAAGAGGAGGTTTTTCGTTTTAGGAATTAAGTGAATTTAGTTCCCTTTCAGAAGAGTTACATGATGTCTGGGATATTGAAATTTTTTGTACCGTTTGTCTTCCTTTTTTTCATTTCCAAAGTTAATGGTAAGTTTTAAAGAATTTTCCAATCTTAATTTCATAATTAATCTGTATTAAAAGCTGCAATTTCTGTATTTAATTTTGAAATAATTTAACAGCAATATTTTAAATGTATTTTTTCATCTTTTCATAAGTTTTGAAACAAAATACCTCACAAAAGTATGAAATTTTTACTGCTGTACTTATCAAACATGGCGATATTTATGTATAAAGAAGCCGCCTTTATCGATCAGCTTGGTCAAAGCCAAATATACTGCGCAACTGCATCTGAATACTCCAATTCTCCAACCTTAATTAGTTTTAAACAATTTTTTTTTTTACCGTCTTGCTGTTTCTCGCTACTTTACTCGAACGAAAGCACTTTGATTTCAATTTTAACTATTTCCAAGCGATGACCACGATATTGTCAAAGTTCTTTATGTATTCAATTTAACTAACACTTTAAATCTGTCCATCACCTATTAAATTACACAAATTACCAAGAGTATGAGTTCGGAACATTTCAGCATAGTAAGCAACAGAAGTATTAAAATTATTTCTATCTCAGCTCATCCTAATGCTCCATTACTTGCTGTACTACAGGGCTCGAAAAAACTTAGAAATTTTACCCGTCCCCGAGGACGGCTTGTCCAACAATGCACCCGTCCTCCGTTGAAACTAACCCGTCGCTTTTAAATAAATAAAAATATAATTTTCTCCTATTTATTACAAGCATTTATATAAATTGCACAATGAATTAGTCGTTACTAGGATTACATTATACAGTAATAAAAGAAATACTAGGTTACTAATAGTAACCTAGTATTTTTTTTATGAAATAATTTAAATGACAAGGGTCAAGTTATCTGGAATGTCAAGTTATCCGAGGGTACTGCGTTTTTTAAATGAATCAAATATGACGTTTGCCAGTTCCACAATCAAGCCAATGATTTACAGAGGTTTCTGCACAGAAATCTGAAAGGGGTTTTCCATTT